CTTAAATTAAATTAGTATTAATTAGTTAATTTTTAAAAATTTTAAAGATGCCCTACTAAGTTAAAGGGAACAAAATAATTATAAGTAAAAATTAAGTTCATATGTTGCTTTAGTTGGATTGTTATATGATAAAAAATGGAAAGCATTCTTAACAAATGTGTTTCTTTTTTATGTATCACAATGTTATTAGGTAAAGGTAACCAAAATACATGTATCAATATACTAAAATTGTTCACTACATGTGTACATGGCTTAATTATAAATAATTGTCTTCTATTCTATACACACAAAAATACATTCTATCTGATTTGTTAATGTCTCATACAATTGTACATTAGATTTATTTTGTTTATATAAATCACAGTAATTGATAACACATAGTCCAAGAGATACACTTAATATAATGGTGTATGAGCCATTGACTTATTTCATTCTGTATTTGTAAAATATTCTACCATACTCACTTTACCCAACTTTTTTTTTCTTTTGTTAATTGCCCTCTTGATACTTTCTTCCAGCAATAAGTTCAATCAAAGACCTTTAGGCTTAAACCAACATTCAAACATTAAAATATCTACCAAAGTTATTGGAGGAATCCATGCTGTGTATATAGGATGGTCACCCAGTTAAGACTCCACAGTGTTTACACCTAATAGTATCAATAAGTCTTGTTTTGTTATATCACTATAACTGAAATTGTCATTTTACTTTAAAGACTTAGACAACGTACGTAGTACTGCATTAACATTGATATTTCCAGGGACAGCACTTGCATGGAATATACAGGTTGGCATGTTCCAGTCTCTGTGCTGAAGCCTTCGTTACTGTAGTACAATTTAAATGAGTTTGTATAATCTGTTTAAGGGATATAAGGTGGTTTTGTGAGAATACTCCAGATTGTCATATATTATTATTATTATGCAACATCAACAGTTCACTTGTTTTATTGATGAATATTAAACAAGCTGTATGGCAGCTTCAGTTTGACATTATTGTTTCTTATGCAGAACTGACAGAGCTACAGGGTAAAAGTCATTTGCTAACTTTTTTGTCCAATTCACCAATTGATCCAAGTTATTCTGTAGTACCTCAAAATCTTTAGTAAAGATAAAAATACCCAATTAAGAGTTTAGTTTCATTAGTAAACTTCATTAATTTATTAGCTATGCCCTATCAATATCATTTATATAAATAAGAAAAATACAAAGGTCTGAAACCTGACTTCTGAGACAAACAACTAGTAATAAGGGTCCAGTTTGACTAGACTCCATTACCAACAATGTTTTGCTTTCTTTCACCAAGCCACCCTTCAATTCAATTAACTAGTCTTTCCCCAACCATCATCAAATTAATTTTCTTTGTTAATGTTTTGTGTGCCACCTTATCTAAGGTTACAAAATCATTTCAAAAATCTAAGTCTACCAAATCCACATCCTTTCCATCATCCATATGACAAGAAACATCTTTAAAAAAGTAGTTAGAGATTAGTAAGGTAAGATTTCCCTTTAGTGAATACATGTAGGCTTTCTTTCTTATTATCATATTTCACTTTTATTCTTTTATCATACTACAGCATTTTTCCCACTATAGAAGTAAAACTAAATGACCTAAAATTTGTGAATTAACATAGGCAAGTCGGCAATCCTGCTCAATTCTACTGGTCTTCCACTACCAAATATGAGAGAGGCTTTAATATCTGATCTTTGACTTCTTTTAAGCTTTAACATTAAGGAAAACAATGTATGGTATTGATGCTTTATTTTTAATTCATCCAAATTTCTCTGTATAAAATTAACTGTTACTAGTATTAGAATAACAATACAATGTACACTATACTACTACTAGTACACTTAAGGTCCTACTTTAAATTAAAATTAAACCTTAACTTAAAGTTCAACAAAAAGTTATAGAAGATAGTAATTTTACACTTAGGCATGAATAAAAACCCTATAAATTATAACTCGAACGCTTTCAGCTTTCAAAAGGTGGGCCTTTCTTCTTCAGATGCAAGTGTCCATGTAGTATACTCAGATTATACTGTTAGCGTCACTATGTAATGTCATAAACATCATTCTTCAGAGTTTTAAACAATTTTATTGCTTTTACTTTAGTTTGAGTTATGTTAAATAGTTTCCTATGAACTGCTGCTGCCTTCTGAAGTTCTATCTAGTTTGGAGGAAGGCACTTTCGCAATTCTGTGAATCTCTGATATTTTTTAAACGTTACAATAATTTGAACATATTTCAATCAAACTAAAATTTTTAACCCTTCACACATTTAAAAATGAAAGATAGAGAGCTTTCAATTTAATGCCATAACAAACTATATGACTATTACTATTACTAACTGCATACGATGACTAATTAATCGTATTACTTAAGTTAGCGATTAACGTGTTTAACTTTAAAAGTTTAAAGTATCATACTTAATATAAGTTATAACTTATGTGTAACTTGGGAAAACTCTACATAATAAGATAGTAATTGTAATATTATTATTAGTAGTAGTATAAACTATAATGTATAGTACAGATTATAATATAACTCAGTGGTTCATCGGTTAGGACATTCCTAAACATAGTATTAGTAGTTTACATGCAGAATTGACAGACTTACCTCACATTGAATATCGTTTGTAAGTATTCTAATAAATCTCTTAACTTGTATATAACACTTTCAAAGGCAAATGAACTATCACTATTAAATTAAACATTTACACAGTGCAATTACGAGCACTACCTGAATTACAGAACCACCCGTATGAGTTCTGCCGATCTTTCGCGATTGCACTTCCAGGTGTTCTGAAAAACGGAAACTATCAAGTTCTCTGTTGAAACGAAAATTTATCTACATTTTTATTAGTTAAGTTGAACAATATCGTAGTCACTTTGATTGTAAAAAGATAATAATAAACGCTAGAAAATATAAATTATAAAATTCATCAAGTAATAGGGAAAGGCAATGTTCATGCAGGAACTTCGAAGCGTAAATTCCATATTTCACGTTTTATTTCAAGTACAACAGACATAACACGAATAACAATGTTCCTACAACAACGAACCATTTGGTCCTTCAAAGCTGTCCATTTAAATCCACACTTAAGAAAAAGTCAAGTTTAAAATTAATCTGTTTTTATTCAGGAAATGATCTATCCCGTTCACTAAATAGCCTTTTGTTGTCCATACCTTATGTCATTTTAAACTCTGGAGTACTAGTACTACTGCCGATGGCCATGCATTCCAGATGACAAGCTATTCTCTTACAGTTTTGAAGTTTTGTCTTTTCCTCCCATTTTCTTCAGAATACAGCACAAATAAATCAGAAGTTTTTATCCTATTGTTCCCCCGTATGATTTTTTAGACTGCAATTATGTCACTTATACTTTTCTTTTCTCAAGATTAAGTACTTTCACAAAATAGACCTTCAAATCCAAGAATTATCCTAGTTGTTCTTTTTTTTAACCATTTCCAATGTATATGGAACTCTCTCGCACTTCAGTCACCAAGGTTCTCACTTGAGTATTGGCTCTTACCACAATACTAAATAATTCTAAGCATATACAATATCAAAAGTGAGCCTCACAGTGGCTCAGAGGTAAGTCTGAAGGCTTTTAATGTTAAAAATCGGGTTTCGATACCCATGGTGACTACAGCACAGATAGCTCATTGTGTAGCTTTATGCTAAACAAAAACGACCAAAAGTGAATTTATGATTAAACATTAATTATACATTTCAGTTACAATATCAAACGTGTGACTTGTTGATCATTATACTTATTGATCATATTTGATAATTTGAGGAAGCACCTAGAAAAGTGGAATACCTTTAAGAAATCAAGGTCGTTTTGGAAGAATAAATTTTATTTCCTCGCAGCAATCTGTTCAAAGTTTTTGATATGATCCTGGTTCTGTAAGATATTACTCATAAACCTATGACGGATAATTTGGTTTGTTTGATTTAAGTGTAAAGATAAACACCGGCTATCTGCATTGTACCCATCATATAGCCAGATCGAGCCCCGAATTTTAGCGTAATAAGCCCTCGAGGTTAGTGTTGAGTTACCAGGGGCTAGAAATTTGGAGAGTCACTATCTAAAAAATAAATGAGTGATACACTCCTGGTTTTTTATGGCATAGGATACTAACATTTCATAACGATAAGTTTTATGGCCTGTGTTATTTATTGATTTTTAATATATATGTAGAAATATGTATAGTTAAAGGGGCAGACTTAAAGCTGTGGGAAAATTTATTCTTTTATAAGCTATATTTTCAGTCTTTTAATTTAGATGTTTACTAAAGTGAGCATGATATTAAAATCAAAAACTATGGTGAAAGTTAAGAATCGAGAAGCTTTGTGGAGTATGTATAAACAAGGCCACAATATAAGTGTAATCAGTGAATGCAATGTCAGTGAAGTATTCAGTGAATAATCAGTGAGTGATTCAGTTCAGTGTCAGAAAAGTCATTCAGTGTTAGAAGTGAAATTTATGGCGTTTATTTAGTTACTCGGTGAGTTTTTATTGTTATTGATCTTAAATAAGTTAAATCGATATTAGTTTTGACGTTTATTTTTTATTTTTTTTTTTGAAATTAGGCCTACAAATGAACATAGTTGTAGCAAACATTTATTGAAGGAATAAATTAATTCGTTATCATTACATGAACAGGACCTGGTATTATTTTTATCGATTAATCCAAATGAACCCGCCCATGATAGAACACGTTACAAAACTGGTGTCAGAAGCGGAATTATTTCGGTGAAAATAAAATTAAACTTTGACTACACTTCAATATGACAAATAGCATAGGAAAGAAATGTGGTTGAACCTTTGTTTGAAATGATGAAAATTTAAAAAAAACGTCAAAAAGAAAGGGACAAAATAAAATAAAAACGACCAAAAAGAAAGAGAGAGAGAGAGAAAAAAAGAAGAACGTGTTATAAGATTGCAGGACCATAACAGAAAAGAAAAGAAGACCAATAAGAAATAGGTAGAAAAATAAACGCAAACTAAGATGAAATATATAGGAAAATAAACGAAAACCAAAAATAAAGAGGCAGGAAAATGAAAGCAGATTAAGAGTTAAGAGAAAGAACTTCAGAGTTAAAAGAGATGTAATATTTAAAGAAGAACTCAACACAGAAATATATGTGATTGGAAACAAGATGAACGAAACAATTGGAGATGTACAAAAGACTACAATAATAAGGTTGAAGAAGTATAAAAAGGCTAGCTTTAATGACAAATTGAAGAAGTAAAAGTGTTGTTACGTCTCTGTTCGTTTGTTAATTTCCCGTAGAAATTCTTTCCGAGAAACTTAGCGATACAGATCCTTTCTTAAGTAAAACTAGTTTATTCTTTCTCAATACAACTTTGCAATACACTTAATTTCCACACTTAAACACACGCTATAATTCTCAACGAACGATTCACGC